AAAAAAAAAAAAAAAAAAAAAAAAACTTAACTTTTTAAATGTACATAATACCCTCACAATAAAAAGAATCTTACATAATCCAATGTGAGACCTACGACAGTATTTTACTATTGCACCTCCGTAACATCATTTCCCTTTAGCAATACTTCTTGCCACTTCCATCTCAACCAATTAAGTTCAAAAGAGTACAGGTGAAGTGCAATTTCCTTTTCTTCTTAATCTTCCATCTCTCTGATGAGATGCGAAGGGATGAAAATACTGGAAAGGCCCTTTAATAGCACACAGAGCGTACAGGTACACAGCACCACTGATGATAAAAATATTTGTAGCATTCCTGCTCACATGGGGAAGACAGATGTTTCAGACTTTTTTTACATTACAATAATACTTATAGTTTTCCCCAACATCTAATGGTGTAGTTCACATACATCATATTTGCACTACTCATATATACTAGAACTGAAGATCAAAATATGACAAGTGCTTTTTTTTTAAATATTACATCCTGCAGATTTTTTCATCAAGACTACCAGTACTTTAACCAGTGTTACATTCCATAGTCATCATTTCCCGCTGATTCAATTTTTGAAAGAATCTCTCCTCTTCAAACTGTGGCACTAATAGCATCAGAAGAAGTCTATGCTAGATTTGATTCTATTAAGAAAAAGAAGCAGCTGGGGAAACTTTCTTCCAGACCATGTTATCAGTGCCAAAAACAACACTACAGGCCATTGCTGCCCTGCAGGTGGAGGATACAGAATTGGATAGCAAGAATCCAAGAAAGTACTTGATAATAAAGTCTATATAGTTTCTACCCTACAAAAATTAATTAATTTGTGAGAGTTTTCAGGCAAGAGGGTAAATTACCCTGCCACTGAACTTTCATAACAATGTGTTACTTCCTCTATTCTTTTTTCATTAGCTCTGCATCCATATCTTGCATTCCAGACAGCAAACAGTGCTTTGTAGACATCATAAACAATCTATCCCCTACATGTGGCTTCTACCTGAAAAATTACTGTCCATCAGAAGCTCACCCTGTATAACCTGAACCTTTCATTAACTACATGGTGCCAATGGGTAGCTATAGACAACACAAATCCTCGCACTTCCCCACATTGTAGAGTAGCTCACCCTCAGGGACCCCATTCCCTAGATGACCTATGACAATTAGAATACCTGGGTCCAATACGTATAAGAATTGCAAATAATCTCCACAGAGAATGACTATCTTCTTCTTGTTCTAGGATTCTCAATTGCATGGACAGAAATAATTCAAATCATAATATCCCCAAAATTAAATAAAATTTCATTTCATATGCTAAAACATGTCATAATGACCTCTGGCTCATGAAAGTCCCAAACCAGTTGTTTTCCTCAAGTCTCTGTGATGCTCAGTACAAAATCAATAGTCTTAAAGTGCATTGTCACTATTGAGAATTTGGTCAATAACCTTCTTCCAGACTGCTCGGTCTTTATCCAGGCAGTGATTACATTTTTTAAAGAGGACAGGAAAATTCCCACAAACCCCACTGTCACCAAAAGAACAAAAAATTACATTAATTCTGTCTTAGTACAAAAAGAAAGATTCCCAATGCCTAGATTGTAATCTAATAGAGTGTCGCAGAGTTCAATTCCTAGGCACACGGTCACTGACCTCTGATAAATGTCTGGGGAAAATTTATTATGAAAAACAAAGCAGAGAGAAAAATATAATTGTTTGGGATTCCCTTAAAATCACTTTCCAGGAGATTACATCTGAAATTCAGCACTCTGTTTTTGACAATTCAAGCTTTTACTACATGTATGAATGTCATGCAACTTATACTATAATACACTGACAGAGTAAAGGGCAAAAATTTTATCAAATCAATTTTCTGGGAATTATAATTTTTAAAATCTGAAGTTTCTGTATGGATTTTTTATCCACCAGATTTGAAATTTTTCCATTCATCAAGTATGTGCAAATCAAGTACACTGAATATTTAGGCACATAATTTTTATTGCAAACATTTGTTTTGGTTGCTATATTTTTCATTTCATCCCTTAGGCATTTGTATGTTGTCAAAATATCATAATATATCTGTTATTCCAGGCAGCAAACAGACATAAGGCAATGCAGTTCATGTGGTACAAATGCCAATTAAATACGTGGTAAATAGAGCTGTAGCGTAATCTACGATTTTTATTTAAAATTTTCAAATGTCACACTTGTTCCAATATCTTCATCTTTCAAGATTTATCTTTTCAGAGATTTAGAACAAAACACTTTCTAACAACAAGCCAACTAACTTTTCATTTGGCAAAAGGTGGGGGTGTGGGCAAGTATATCTCCTGAACAGAGGCTATTGAAATATTGGAGGAAAACTATTTCAATATTTAGCTGTTGATTGAAGAAAAATTACTTAATTCTAACTTTTCATTAGTTTTGAATCAGAAGTATTTTTAAGGGGGAAGGGGTGGGGGTTGTGGAGAGATATTTTTTCAAGGTTCCTCGAATTTACTGGGTTATTACCATAATGTAGCTAGACTCCCCCATTTATAAGCAACAAAAACAAATCTTCAAGTTGATGATTTGGGTTGGAAAAAACACCTACAGTATGAAGAATGCCTACTGGTTAGAAACATCCCAGAGTCATTGAGTATGATAAAGCATCACTTACATGTGTTCTTATTCATCTACCTATATAAATCCACAGCAGAGGTAGATTAATGGTAGAAATAACGGGGGAAGGGGGGGGGGACTATTTAACCCACCCACATATTTCAAAGTACCCATAGTTACATTGATCTACCAGACATGGGATAAAAGCTCATTTCTAACAAACAGGTATTCACAACATTTCAATCATAAAACAATGCATAAATCTATCATAAAATAATGCGTAAATATCATTAACTCATGCTTTCTGTCACTATTTTATCTTCTCTAGAGTACTAGCATTGCTACACAGACTATGAAAAAAAATGTTTATTCTTAAATAGAAAACTTGGTGCAAAGGGATCAGAAAAACAAGTCTGCTTCCTTAAGGGAGGATATAATTAAAAACCACACGCACTGCATCAACAAAACAAGTGTCATCAGAAATTGTAAAATTGTTCACATTATGTATCTCTATATTTCCAGTCCTGTTTTGAACCCTTCCTTTTAACCAATGAAGAAAAAAAAACTAGTTTATGGCACGTAATATTGAAAACACAACAAGAGCCTTTATTCTATAACATATAGTTTGAATTTATGTAAAAGTATCATGACCTTTTTCAAATGAAGGAAAGAATTAAGATTCATTACAACCAATACAGTAGCTACTACATGTACTAGTAGTAAATTTATGTTCATGCTGTTTATCTTTTTTGCCATGTTCTGAAGACTAAAACTCTGTCACGAAGTTCTATTTTTGACTGTTGAAATTCCATAGTAAGCATGAGAAATAACAAGGTGTAAGCTATGTGAGTGACAGCAAAGCAAGACGTAATCCTAGGCGGGCAATGTAGTATAAGCTTAGGCCTAGCTTATGTTATCAGTTCCATATTACATTACACAAACAAATTAAGATGTAGGTTGTCACGACATTCTATATTTGACCACAGCCCCCTTCCTGATGACGCAAAACGTGGTTGCCATTGCATGCAGTTCACATATTATGAATCTGTCCTTTTTGTTCAGGTTAGAAGACACCTTTCAAGTCTTTTAATACAGCTGCACAAACATAATTCACTCTGTCCTTGACGAAATCTTTGAGAAAGGCATTCAGGCTGTTTTATAGAAATGGCATCACTAGTTGTACAGTATAGTATTTTTCAATCATCATGCAGTTCTCTTTAAAATGAGATGTGACAAATTTCAAGCAGTTCTAGATAAAAACCCTGCTACAATGGCATTTTTATAAAAAGTTTAAGCTTAATTTTTGCTTCCTTGCTTCTAAAAAATACTGCAAAACAACCGCAAAATAAATCCACTCAGACTCTATTCTCCCACAGTGTGTAAATATCGTTTTTCATGTCATATAGCGAATATCCTGTCCTTTGAAACACACTACCCTTGGGAATGAGACGTATGTTTGATTTCACATTCTGTTGACTCTTTCTTAATGGATCTTTGATTACTAACTTAAATATCATTCCATGAAATTATTTTTTGAGGGAGTGGGGGGGGGGGGGG